CTCCAGCATCTGTTCTTTCCTGAGTTTTAATGATCGCCATTCTAACTGGCATGAGATGGTATCTCATTGTCGTTTTGATTTGCATTTCTCTAATGACCAGTGATGATGAGCTGTTTTGATATGTTTGTTGGTTGTATAAATGTCTTCTTTTGTGAAGTGTCTGTTCATATCCTTCACCCACTTTTTGATGGGGTTGTTTTTTTCTTGTAAATTTAAGTTCCTTGCAAATTCTGGATATTAGCCCTTTATCAGATGGATAGATTGCAAAATTTTTCTCCCATTGTGTAGGTTGCCTGTTCAGTCTGATGATAGTTTCTTTTGCTGTGCAGAAGCTCTTTAGTTTAATTAGATCCCATTTCTTAATTTTGGCTATTGTTGCCATTGCCTTTGATGTTTTAGTTATGAAGTCTTTGCCCATGCCTTCGTCCTGAATGGTATTGCCTAGGTTTTTTTCTAGAGTTTTCATGGTTTTAGGTCTTACGTTTAAGTCTTTAATCCATCTTGAGTTAATTTTTGTGTAAGGTGTAAGGAAGGGGTCCAGATTCAGTTTTCTGCATATCGCTAACCAGTTTTCCCAACACCATTTATTAAATAGGGAATCCTTTCCCCATTGCTTGTTTTTGTAATGTATGTCAAGGATCAGATGGTTGTAGATGTGTGGTATAATTTCTGAGGCCTCTGTTCTGTTCCATTGATCTATAAATCTGTTTGGGTACCAGTACCATGCGGTTTTGGTTACTGTAGCCTTGTAGTATAGCTTGAAGTCAGGCAGCGTGATGCCTCCAGCTTTGTTCTTTTTGCTTAGGATTGTCTTAGCTATGCAGGCTCTTTTTTAGTTCCATATGAAATTTAAAGTAGTTTTTTCTAATTCTGTGAGGAAAGTCAATGGTAGCTTGATGGGATAGCATTGAATGTATAAATTACCTTGGGCAGTATGACCATTTTCATGATATTGAGTCTTCCTATCCATGAACATGGAATGTTTTTCCCTTTGTTTGTGTCCTCTCTTGTTTCCTTGAGCAGTGGTTTGTAGTTCATCTTGAAGAGGTCCTTCCCATCGCTTGTAAGTTGTATTCCTAGGTATTTTATTCTGTTTGTAGCAATTGTGAATGAAAGTTTACTCATGATTTGGCTCTCTGTTTTTCTATTACTACTGTATAGGAATGCTTGTGATTTTTGCACATTGATTTTGTATCCTGAGACTTTTCTGAAGCTGCTTATCAGCTTAGGAAGATTTTGTACTGAGATGATGGGATTTTCTAAATATACAATCATGTCATTTGCAAACAGAGACAATTGGACTTCCTCTCTTCCTATTTGAATACCCTATATTTCTTTCTCTTGCCTGATTGTCCTGGCCAGAACTTCCAATACTATGTTGAATAGGAGTGGTGAGAGAGGGTATCCTTGTCTTGTGCTGGTTTTCAAAGGGAATGATTCCAGCTTTTGCCCATTCAGTATGATATTGACTGTGGGTTTGTTATAAATAGCTCTTATTATTTTGAGATATGTTCCATCAATACCTAGTTTGTTGAGAATTTTTGGCATGAAGTGCTGTTGAATTTTATCGAAGGCCTTTTCTGCATCTAAATTGAGATAATCATGTGGTTTTTGTCATTGGTTCTGTTTATGTGATGGATTACGTTTATTGATTTGTCTATGTTGGACCAGCCTTGCATCCCAGATATGTAGCTGACTTGATCATGGTGGATAAGCTTTTTGATGTACTAGCAGACTCAGTTTGCCAGTACTTTATTGAGGATATTTGCCATCGATGTTCATCAGGGATATTGGCCTGAAATTTTCCTTTTTTGTTGTGTCTCTGCCAGGTTTTGGTATCAGGATGATGCTGGCCTCATAAAATGAGTTATGGAGGAGTCCCTCTTTTTCTGTTATTTGGAATAGTTTCCGAAGGAATGGTATCAGGTCCTCTTTGTACCTCTGGTAGAATTCTGCTGTGAATCCACCTGGTTGGGCTTTTTTCAGTGGATAAGCAATTAATTACTGCCTCAATTTCAAAACCTGTTATTGGTCTATTCAGGGGTTTGAATTCTTCCTGGTTTCGTCTTGGGAGGCTGTATGTGTCCAAGAATTTATCCATTTCTCCTAGAATTTCTAGTTTATTTGTGTAGAGGTGTTTATAGTATTCTCTGATGGTAGTTTGTATTTCTGTGGGGTCGGTGGTGATATCCCCTTTATCATTTTTTATTGTGTCTATTGATTCTTCTCTCTTTTCTTCTTCATTAGTCTGGCTAGTGGTCTATCAATTTTGTTAATCTTTTCAAAAAACCAACTCCTGGATTCATTGGTTTTTTGAAGGGTTTTTCTGTCTCTATCTCCTCCAGTTCTGCTCTGATCTTAGTTATTTCTTGTCTTCTGCTAGCTTTTGAATTTGTTTGCTCTTGCTTCTCTAGTTCTTTTAATTGTGATGTTAGGGTTTTGATGTTAGATCTTTCCTGCTTTCTCCTGTGGGCATTTAGTGCTATAAATTTCCCTCTAAACACAGCTTTAGCTGTGTCCCAGAGATTCTGGTATGTTGTGTCTTTGTTCTCATTGGTTTCAAAGAACTTATTTATTTCTGCTTTAATTTCAATATTTACCCAGTAGTTATTCAGGAGCAGGTTGTTCAGTTTCCATGTAGTTGTGCAGTTTTGAGTAAATTTCTCAATCCTGAGTTCTAATTTGTTTGCACTGTGATCTAAGAGACTGTTTGTTATGATATCCGTTCTTCTGCATTTGCTGAGGAGTGTTTTACTTCCAGTTATGTGGTCAATTTTAGAATAAGTGCAATGTGGTGCTGAGAAGAATGTATATTCTGTTGATTTGGGCTGGAAAGTTCTATAGATGTCTACTAGGTTTGCTTGGTCCAGAGTTGAGTTCAAGTCCTGCTTTTCCTTGTTAATTTTCTGTGTCGTTGATCTGTCTAATATTGACAGTGGGGCGTTAAAGTCTCCCACTATTATTGTATGGGAGCCTAAGTCTCTTTGTGGGTCTCTAAGAACTTGCTTTATGGGTGTTCCTGTATTGGGTGCATATATATTTAGGATGGTTAGCTCTTCTTGTTACATTGATCCCTTTCCTTTACCATTATATAATGCCCTTCTTTGTCTTTTTTTGATCTGTGTTGGTTTAAAGTCTGTTTTATGAGAGACTAGGATTGCAACCCCTGCTTTTTTTGCTTTCCATTTGCTTGGTAAATATTCCTCTATCCCTTTATTTTGAGCCTATGTATGTCTTTGCACGTGAAATGGGTTTTCTGAACACAGCACACTGTTGGGTCTTGACTGTTTATCCAATTTGCCAGTCTGTGTCTTTTAATTGGGGCATTTAGCTCATTTACATTTAAGATTAATATTATTATGTGTGAACTTGATCCTATCATTATGATACTAGCTGTTTATTTTGCCTATTAGCTGATGCAGTTTCTTTATAGTGCTGATTGTCCTTATAATTGGGTATGTTTTTGCAGTAGCTGGTACTGGTTTTTCCTTTCCATATTTAGTGCTTCCTTCAGGAGCTCTTGTAAGGCAGGCCTGGTGGTGACAAAATCTCTCAGCATTTGCTTGTCTGTAAAGGATTTTATTTCTCCTTCACTTATGAAGCTTAGTTTGACTGGATATGAAATTCTGGATTGAAAATTCTTTCCTTTAGGAATGTTGAGTATTTGCCCCTACTGTCTTCTGGCTTGTTGGGTTTCTGCAGAGAGATCCACTGTTAGTCTGATGGACTTCCTTTTGTGGGTAACCAGACCTTTCTCTCTGACTGCCCTTAACATTTTTCTTTCATTTCAACCTTGGTGAATCTGATGATTATGTGTTGGGGTTGCTTCTCTCGAGGAGTATCTTTATGGTGTTCTCTGTGTTTCCTGAATTTGGATGTTGGCCTCTCTAGCTTGGCTGGGAAAGTTCTCCTGGATAATATCCTAAAGAGGGTTTTTGTCACATTTTTTAAAAATTATACTTTAAGAGTTCTGGGATAGGGTGCGGTGGCTCAAGCCTGTAATCCCAGCACTTTGGGAGGCTGAGATGGGCGGATCACGAGGTCAGGAGATCGAGACCATCCTGGCTAACACGTGAAACCCCATCTCTACTAAAAAATACAAAAAACTAGCCGGGCGAGGTGGCAGGCGCCTGTAGTTCCAGCTACTCGAGAGGCTGAGGCAGGAGAATGGCGTGAACCCGGGAGGCGGAGCTTGCAGTGAGCTGAGATCCCGCCACTGCACTCCAGCCTGGGTGACAGAGCGAGACTCTGTCTCAAAAAAAAAAAAAAAAAGTTCTGGGATACATGTGCTGTCATATACTGTTAAGCAATCAAATCTCATGAGAAATCACTCACTATTGGAAGGACAGTGCCAAACTATTCATGAGGGATCCATGCCCACTACCCAAACATCTCCCACCATGCTTCACCTCTAACACTGATAGTATATTTGACCATGATATATGGAGGGGACAAACATACTAACTGCATGAAAGGCATAGCATGGCTACTGTGAAAGGAGGGTGAAAACACAAAGATGACATCACCTCTGACCTCCAGGAGTGCTCAGCAGACTGAGGGAGACAAGTACATATTTTCCTGAAGGAGGGCACTGGAATGATGGCGTGTTTAGAATATGGAAGTAGAGCAGTCACAGAGAGGCAGCGCAGCAGAGTACTCACACAAGGACTGGGCCAGCGACTCCCCACTGCATGTGATGTATCTGAGGGAAGCCATTAAAATAGGCGAAGGTCACTTTCCATCAAGTCCTTGGTATGGTCCATGGAGGCAGGGTTGTCAATCTCATTTCAGCATTTCAGAGGCCTCTCAGGGTTTGGATATGGAAGAAGACAACTAGCAATGATTATGTATTGCAGAGACGCAGGTGAGCCCCAGTTTCTTGCCAGTTGGGAGGTCAGTGCTAAGGGCCTTGCTGTCTTTCCTTGGCATATAGGATGCCAATTTCTTTCTGGACAGAGAGTATTTCCTTGGCTAAAGTCAAAATCTAAATTTTGCTTTGGGATAAATTCCAAAAATATTAGCTTTATTCAAATTGACTTTCACTTTATGTTTCTGAATCTTCAAGGTCCAAAAGCATTGCTTAATAATTCTGTTTCTAAAGTCACATTGCAGCTCAGGGCATGCTCTCCCTCCAAGGAAGAGACCATAATGTACTCTTGTCTCTAAATCATACAGGTAGGTATCTCAGCAAATGATACTCATGTATTATTGTTCTTATGAGTAAATCATTGGCAGTGAGTGTGATTATGAAATGATAAATACACGCCCTCTATTGGGGTCAGGTTTTGTGCCTGTACTTCTTCCGCCTACTGTATCATAGCAGCTTAGAATTCCAGCTGCTGGCTCTGGCTGCAGTTCTCTGATGGCTCACACACGGTGCATCAGCCCCGTTCCTTTATGTCTGTGTCTACTGCTGACCTGTGGTTTTGCTGAGGCAGGGAAGCTGCTGGTAGTGCCCATGGATGGGAGCCACTGGTTCACCATGCAGTCGGTGGTGGAGAAACTTATCCTCAGGGGGCATGAGGTGGTCGTAGTCATGCCAGAGGTGAGTTGGCAGCTGGGAAGATCACTGAATTGCACAGTGAAGACTTATTCAACCTCATACACTCTGGAGGATCTGGACCGGGAGTTCATGGCTTTTGCCCAGGCTCAGTGGAAAGCACAAATACAAAGTATATTTTCTCTGGTAATGAGTTCATCCACTGGTTTTTTTGATTTACTTTTTTCACATTGCAGGAGTTTGTTTAATGACCAAAAGTTAGTAGAATATTTAAAGGAGAGTTCTTTTGATGCGGTGTTTCTGGATCCTTTTGATGTCTGTGGCTTAATTGTTGCCAAATATTTCTCCCTCCCCTCTGTGGTCTTTGCCAGGGGAATATTTTGCCACTATCTTGAAGAAGGTGCACAGTGCCCTGCTCCTCTTTCCTATGTACCCAGAGAACTCTTAGGGTTCTCAGATGCCATGACTTTCAAGGAGAGAGTACGGAACCATGTCATGCACTTGGAGGAACATTTATTTTGCAAGTATTTTTTCAAAAGTGCCCTAGAAATCGCCTCTGAAATTCTCCAAACACCTGTCACGGAATATGATCTCTACAACCATACATCAATTTGGTTGTTGCGAACGGACTTTGTTTTGGACCCTCCCAAACCCGTGATGCCCAACATGGTCTTCATTGGTGGTATCAACTGCCATCAGGGAAAGCCAGTGCCTAAGGTAAGTCATTGCTCCTTTAGCACATTAAAAGTATTCTGGCTTCGAATATTTAAAAAGATTCTTTACTGAACTGGGATTCGACATTTGTTTGTTGCGTCTAAAATTTCTTTTCTGTGTAAAAAATTATTTTGTGCCACGCATATGCTTGTTGGTTAGCAACTTTGATATAACGGCCTCGTTAATATGTATGTATATACAATTAGTTAATTGTTTATAATTTCCACTGCATTTTTTTTTTTTGAAACAGGGTATTGCTATGGTGCCCTGGCTAGACTCAAACTTTTGGGCTCGAGTGATCCTCCTATCTAAGCCTTCCAAGCAATTATGACTTTTTTAGTATTTTTGGAAAAATATTTAAAAGCACAATAAGAAATGAAAATTTCATTTTTAGCTAATCCTGCACTACCTGCTGCAGTAAAATGTTCTTTGCGGTTTTGTATGCATCTGTTTCCATTTGTTGAAATTATATATAAGCATATTTGTAAATATTTACACTTATTTTATGAAAATTAAATCAACTATCAGGCTGTACATGTTGTTCTTTACTAAGCATTTTTACTTGCCAATAAACCAGAAACATCTTTACAGATTTGATATGTTATTTTATTTTATATTTTAATATTTATTTATTTATTTATTTATTTATTTTTATTATACTTTAAGTTCTAGGGTACATGTGCACAACGTACAGGTTTGTTACATATGTATACATGTGCCATGTTGGTGTGCTGCACCCATCAACTCTTCAGCACCCATCAACTCGTCATTTACATCAGGTATAACTCCCAATGCCATCCCTTCCCTTCCCTTCCCTTCCCACAATAGGCCCCAGTTATTTTAATAATTGCATAAAAGTCTTTACTTTGGATCCAACATAGGCACAAGCTTTCCCAGGTATTTTTCTGCTAAAGATTTGGCTAACTTCTTCAAAACAATAATAATAAGCAGATGTTATCTTTCTTTGACTGTGAAGAAAGTATAAAGCAGAATGCCTTTAGCCAGCCAAAAAATTGTTACTATGAGGTTTGGTCTTGTCCAGTCTGCTTTTGATTTGAGTGGACTACTTTCATCTCTTGGTAGCCATTCCTTTGATTGAGCTTTGTCTTCAGATAGTATTGGTAAATCTATGTTTCATCTTCTGTTACAATCTTTGAAGAGAGACTTCAAGGTTTTTTTTTTTTTTTTTTTTTTTGAGACAGAGTTTCACTCTTGTTGCCGAGGCTGGAGTGCAATGGTTTGATCTCAGCTCACTGCAACCTCCACCTCCTGGGTTCAAGCGATTCTCCTGCCTCAGCCTCTTGAGTAGCTGGGATTACAGGCACACACCACCACACCTGGCTAATTTTGTATTTTTAGTAGAGCTGGGGTTTCTCCATGTTGGTCAGGCTAGTCTTGAACTCCTGACTTCAGGTGATCTGCCTGCCTTGGCCTCCCAAAGTTCTGGGATTACAGGTGTGAGCCACTACGCCCGGCTAAGGTCTTGATCCCACTTGTTTATAATTTCCTGTGAAGGGTCTGTTCTTGTCTGCGGCTGATCTGGCTGCAACGGTTTTGGCACCCATGAAGTAGAAAATTTGTTCAGCTGAAATTTTTGTCAGAATTGTGTAAACTGTCCTGATTGAGATATCTATTGTGTTGGCTATTGTTTCTGCTGTTAATTGTCAGTCTTCTTCAGTTAGAACATGAGCAAGATTGTTTCCTTGCAAATTGAGAGGGATGGTCTGCTGGTGTAGACTTTATTTTTAACCTTGTCTTGTCCCTTCTTAAAAGGAATTACTCATTTATAAACTGCAAATTTCTTTGGGCCATTTTCTCCATTAACTTTTTTTTAAAGCATCAATGATTTCAGCATTCTTCCACTCGTATTTCGGCATAAATTTATGCTATTGCTTCAATTGTTGCAGAATTCATGTTGTTCTGATGGGGGCTTTTTTTCCAACTGATGTCTTATCCTTCTTAGTGCCTCAAACTAGATCCTATTCAGACATGTTTTAACAAGTTAGCAAAAGTTTGTTTGGTGCAAAGAAATTTGAAATCCATGCATACGTTTTTCATAATATGAATTTTCATGAATTGTTTTATGATCCCTTATCTATTACTTTTTTAGCGATGAACCATGCAAGTTTGACTATTGTTCTGGCTTCTTACAAGGTTCAGTAGACTTTGTAACACAGTTGTATCTCTCACAGATTGGCAGCCGTTTGGTAAAAAATTGACTTTTCAGCCAACTCATGGGAAAGTGAAATAATGTGAAAAACAGGAAGACTATAGTTTTAGGCCTTTCAAGTGAGGCATGGCTTTCAGCTCTTGGCAAGAACAGGCAAGGAGATGCAAGCCTCTAAGAGGCTAGGCTTTTCAAAGTGCTTCTCTCCCCTTTACCCTCCTTCAGTTACAGCACCAAGCACCACCCAGGTGTTGCCTGCAGCCTCACCCTCTTCCCAGTTGTGGGATCCTGCCGCTTCCTGAACCCACACTGGGTTCCTTGTGGCTCACAGGGTCACCCAGAGGGCTTTCGAGATCCAGAAAGCTATGTGTGATTTTGTATCACCTATTATATAAAGATACATATAAAATAGGAAACATATTGACCATATATCATTTTGTATAGTTTTGGTTTTATGTGTCTAAAAAATACATGATTTTTTGGTATGTATTAAAGGATAGGTATGTATAAGATGTTTTATAGATGTGGAAAGTTATTTTTATATATCTTTATAAATTATAATAAAGGAAGGAAAATTCTCAAAGAGGAATTCAGATATCAAAGAGTGCCCTTTGACAAAGAGCCTTGGATACAACATACCTTCAAAAGTGAATTGTCATTGAAAGACCTGTGGACACTGGATTCCTCTTTCCTTATTTTAGAAGGGCAGACTGTGCCTTGGAAAAGCATACAGTTTGTTGTATCTTGCTGGGCAACACGAGTCATAGTCTGAAGTCTCCGATGAGAAGGAAGCATCGCTTGATGGTGGAGTGTGCATCTGTGCCCGTGTATGTGCATGTGTGTTTGTGTGTGTGCATGCACATGTGTCTGCATGCAGTATCTCAGATCCTACATAGGGGATTTTCCTGAAGGTCTCCAGTAGCAAAAACTCTATCTCCAGTAGCAAAAAGTCTATCCAGGGGAATTACATCCAATGCTGTAAATAAATAACAAAGATGGCAGATCATCATTCAAGAGAACATCAAGATAGTTTTAATTAAAAAAAAAGAAAAGGACTCACTCCCAGGGTTTTTTAGTTTTTGGTGAGTTCCAGCAGAATTGATGTAAGGTCCAGTAGGAAGGAATTCAGGATTACTCTGTACCATGCAGGGTGGCCGTAGCTCTGAAGAACTGGGGATGGGAGGTGACTGCACAGCAAGCAAAGATCTGGGCTTCCCCCATTGCTCTAAGATCTGGTTCCATTGTGAGATTCAAATTCAGAGTAAGCTGTTAGTGGGCAAGACCAAGGCCTCCCACCAAGATGATTGATTTCAACTTTTTTTTAATCAAAGTTTTCAAACAAATGGCAAGGAGAGACTACAGTGTAATGAGCACCCATGTATCCATCTTTGTGTTACATAATTTTCAATATTTTATTATACTGAATCATATATCTGCTCTTTCATTTCTTTTTTTAAAATAACTTTTGGCTATAATTTTTTAATGGAAATGCTGTACACAGCATTCTATCCCCAAATACTTCACTAAATATGAAAAATAAGGAAAGTTTGTTACATAGCCACAATATCATTATCATTCCTCACAGAATCAATAACTCTTTAATATTGTCTCCTAATCCATAATGAAATTTCCCCTAATTGTTTCAAAAATGTCTTTTACATGCAGATCAGTAGAATGGAGTTGAGAATCCAGAAATAAACCCATACATCCTTGGCCAATTAGTTTTTACTGTGGTGCCAAGACTGTTGAAATGGGAAAGAATAATCTCTTCAACAGAGGTCGCTGCGACAGCTGCATATCCACATGCAAGATAATGAAGTTGCATCCTTATATGCAAAAACTAACTTGAAATGGATCAAATAGCTGAATAGAAAAGCTAGACGTGTAAAAGTTTAGAAGGAAACATTTGGGGAAGTATTTATGACCTGGATTTGGAATTGGTTTCTGTGATGTGATACACACATTGTTGTGTGTAAGAAACAACAACAAAAAACACAGACAAATTTGACATCAAAATAAAACACTTTTGTGCGTCGAGGATGCTATCTAGAGAATGAAAAGGCAACCCACATGGCCTCCCTCACTAAGATGTGCAAGTAAACATGTACATGCTTGACGTGGAGGCTCCTGGGAGGCAATCACAGTCCCAAAAGACCAGAAATTTCAAAGTCCTGAATGTTAAGAGCCTGAAAGATCAACATCCTACAAATACAATTCCAGAAAAAATAACTTTAAAAATTAATTAAAAGATAATCTGTTTACTTTTTAAAAGGGATTTTATTTGAAAAACATATAAAAACATGACAGACCACTTCATAGGCCACTTTACACCATAAAATCGGTAATAATAACACAGGTATCTTTGCAAGCATAAACCCTCAGGTGTACTAATGACCTTCATATAGGTGTATCAGTTGTGAGAAGATGAATCGTATTTGTAAAGTAGTAGGTTAAAAAAGGAAAAGTATAAACATTTATTGTTGTGGTTGGTAATATTTTGCACTCAGGTTTACGGCTTTGATTATCTGAAATACCATGAAAAATGACCTGAGACGTTTCATGAGGTCAGTCAGAAGCCTCTATGGGTCACCACCACATACACAGTTGCTCAAAGTGCCCAAGTCTTGAGAAATTTTTTTGTTTGTTTTTTTGAGACAGAGTCACTCTGTCGCCCAGGCTGGAGTGCAGTAGTGCGATCTCGGCTCATTGCAACCTCCACCACCCGGGTTCAAGCGATTCTCCTGCCTCAGCCTCCTGGGTAGCTGGGTTTACAGGCGCCCACCACCACAGCCAGCAAATTTTTGTGTTTTTAGTAGACGTGGGGTTTTGCCATGTTGGTCAGGTTGGTCTTGAACTCCTGATTTCGGATGATCTGCCCTCCTCAGCCTTCCAAAGTCCTGGGATTACAGGCGTGGGCCACTGAGTCTGGCCGAGAAAATTTATCTTTCACAAATGCAGATGTTCAAAAGGGACATCTTTTCATTTATTGAGGATGTTTCAACATTTGTACATACATGCCTAATGCTTACACACTTACCCTTGTGATAATACACTTCCATCGAGTCAAATTTGCGAG